AGGCTCAATTTTGTAATTAGGTTAAATAGCTTTACTTTAAAGTCTGGATTCTTCCCATTATTTTTTGTTAATTAATAATATTCCTTAAATAAAAAATAATGTGTAAAAAAAAGTTTTAATAACATATATTTTTCATCGTTTGTATTTATTTTATTTTTGAGATGTAAAAATATAAACAATTATATTTAAAATAAAGTCTAAAAAATATATAGAATATGAGCTCCGAGATATGCACTAGTTATGTGGCAAGAACATGGTTGAGTGAATGGTAACGCCTATATGAGATGCTCGACTTTAGTTAAAAAAAAAAATAGAAATGTAAATTCATTCTAAGTCCCCAAGAATTTAATCTAAGTCATTAAATTAGTTAATATAAACATGGAATTATATATTAGATAAAATGCTAAGTCATAAAAATTAATTAAAATAAATTCTAAGTCTAAGCCAAACAAAAAATAAATCGGCTAATTTACCCCAAACTAAAGTATAAAAACAATATAGAATGAGACGTCCAACTGCAGGGGCATGATATTATGTTATGAGTGCTAGCCATGGTTAAAACTTCCTGTTTTTATTTGTAGTCATACATTACTCAAGACGAAATGTTTTTTTATTTATAATAATCAACAAGTTCGTGTTTTCTTATATTATTATTTAGTCGAACTCTAAATATTTGGATTCTTGGATGGCTTGGTAATATGAAATTTCTCCTTTTTATAAGCGCATCTCTTTCAAATTAACATCAGAACATCCCCTCATTGGATCACTCTACAACCATCTGATCTCTTTTGGACAAGTCTACTTTCTCAACATAATTCTACAACTTCCTACACAAAATTCTTCGGAACTTTTTAGCTCTGGCATATACCACATCCTTTTCCAAGCTTCTTATGCATCTAGTCCCTTCTGCGATGTTCCAGACCTTTTTTTATTTTCCATTGTGCTAGATGCTTCTAGAATCTTCCACACACATCTACAACGTCTTCCATAATTCCGGAATGTTCTCCATGCACCTGGAATATTCCCCGCGCATACAGAATGCTCTCGGAGCATCCGAAATGTTCTTCTCGCATTCGGGCCCTCCAAGATCTTTCTAAAATGTACTTTTTCATTCCAAGGCACCTTCAACGACTCAGAGAACATCCCCACGCTGATCAATTTTGTTGGAACTGAGGCACTTAACATGTATTTTTTATTTTTTTTTTGGTATCCACATCAGCACCACCAACACTGGAGGCACAGTAGCACTACCGTGTGTCCTGGCACACCTAGCTAGGTGTGCCAGGGCAGTTTTGCACGCGCCTCTCTCACCCCAAAAACAAGAAAATTTGGAGAGTGTAGTGCACATTCCTATTTTTCTTTTTTTAATTGAAAAATGAGACATATTACATAAATTAAAATATTATTAATTATTTATATTACAAAAATAAAATAAAAATACCAAAATTCATAATTTTTCATTATCTATAAATAGAGACCACATTTGATAGGTTTTTAAACACAATTAATTTTTCGTTTTTTCGTAATTATTTTATTATACTGACATATAATGAACATGTTACATAATAAAATGAATATGTTTTCAAATATGATGAACATGTTACAGATTGCAGATTGAAATAATACATATTCATCTTATTTTATAACATGTTCACCTTATTGTGTATGTAACATGTTCATTTTATTCTATAACATGTTCATTTTATTATGTAACATGTTCATCTTATTCTATAACATGATCATTTTATTACGTCACATGTTAACCTTATTGTGTATGTAACATGTTCATCTTATTCTATAACATGTTCATTTTATTATGTAACATGTTCATCTTATTCTATAACATGTTCATTTTATTATGTAACACGTTCATCTTAATTTAGAACATGTTCATCTAAATTTCATCTGTGAAAATGTAACATTTTCATCTTATTCTATGACATGTTCATCTTACTCTATAACATGTTCATCTTACGATGTAACATATTCATCTAATTATAGGTTTATGTCATAATCTTCCAATAAGATAAATTAATTGTAAAAAATGATAAATTAATTGTGTTCCAAAAGTTACCAAATGTGGTCTCTATTTGTAGAGAATGAAAAATTATGAATTTTAGTATTTTTATTTTTATTTTTTGATACAAAATATGATAGATAATTTAGTTTATATAATATGATATATGAATTTCATTACCCAATAGAAATGGGACACATGTTCCATTTAGAAAAAAAAAAAAATGTTTTACTTCCTTACCTCACGCGCTTTTGAGGGGGGCATATTTTACAAAAGGCCCTGGCGCACCTAAGTATTTGCGCTGAGGCAAGCAGCAGCTCCAATGTATTTAGAGAAGCAACATCAACGTGTGTGTCTGATGTTTTTGTCTGATGTTCTTCCACTATGTACAATCTGTTCCTAATCGTAGTGTGGGAGTTTTCTCCCCAGCTTAGACTCAAACTTCACCAAATTAATTTATTTTAAATCTTCCCTTAAATGACAGATGGTCCCTGAATGCATCAAATATTAACTTCACCGAATTCATTTATTTTGTTTAATCTTCCCAGAAATGACGAAGATTGTCCCTGAATGCATCAAATATTCAGAATAGATCCTCACTTGAAATGACAAAAATATGCCGAGGTTGCCATGTCTTATTGTTCGATCGTAATTATTCAGTACCGATTAACAAATCAAACCAAGACTTAACATGCCGAGCAAATATCCTCGTGTAAGATATCTTCAAGCAAAAATCTTTCAACTGAGTCACAGGAATAACTGCTACATACAAAATGGGCCACAAGCTCCCCATTTTCACTAAATTCATGTGTTTTTGGCTTCTAATGTTACACCAAACAAAAATGAAGGTGAAAACCAACACAAACAAACCCAGGCCGCCGAAAAGCCCTTGTAGAAAAAGATTACCACAATGGACAAGGATTACAAATGAAGGGGAAAAGATATCGATTAGAAGGGTAAAGTTCCATTATAACAAACCACAGCACCTTGCATGAGACACACCAAACTGAATTCAATATCCTCTATTTATCCTCTATTTTCTGAAAAGATGAAATGAATTTTCCCAAATCCCATGTCGACTTATGTTTCGAATGAAAGTCAAAATCCCCAAACAAACTTCGATCATACATACTATTGTGTTTTTGAAGGACTGGAATATTCTGTTCCGTTTTCACCTGAAGTTACTTCGGAAGAAGCACTCGACGATAAACCGCCATAATCACTTGTTCCGCTTTGTAGGCTCTTTGGTGGGCCAGGTGGGTTGTGTTGTTGAGGATTGGCATTGGGAGGCCTTTGGCCCTCCTCGGCAAGTTTTCTAAGAAGGTTCATGATGGTTGGCAGAAATTTGGTGGATAAAGAGAGGATTCCAGGAAGCTGTAGGCACGAAAAATTTATTAAAACATATAAAAGTAAATTTTAGAATTAAATTTAAGCTTGTGCGTAAAGCTGAGTGCAAAAGCGTTCACATGGATATCGGCAATTGATTCAAATGGGTTTGAGGGACATGCAGAAGAACCAAAATTTTAAGTTGGTTATTTTCATAATTAAATATCCCACTAACATTTGTTCAAATTGCACCCCAGAAATCTCAATGATTTTTAATACCAAAATTGGTTGAGCACCGTATTCCTGTGGGTTTTATATGCCTAAAAAAAGACCACTATTCAACAAATATCCCGGAAAAGAAAATCCACCAGGGGATTTCATCTTAGGGAGATGAAAAAAGTGAACATCAGATGTTCAAAAACAGTATATGAGTAGTGGATGGAAAAGCAATTTTTAAAGGTCACATAATAGTGCACTTACAGCTCCATTTCGGAATTCGCCAGAGATGTCTAATTGCACCCAAAGGGCTTTCAGAAGCAAGAAACCAACGAAGATAACGCCCAAATATAGTGGATTTCTGTCGAAGGAAATTATGGGGTGAGCAAAATTTTTGAGTAACTGAGAGTGTTGCAGATAACACACATATACAGATGCATAAAAGAAGGGGGAAACAAGGAAACTATAATAATAAGTGAAGAAAAATAAAACCCAAAAACTCGGTATGAAAGATAAAGATTGCAAATACAGTTGCATCTAATCTAAAGGAAAAAGCAAATAAAAAAATGACTAAGTACCTCAAAAGGGTCATAAACTCATTAAAACCCAATATAACTAATGCAGCAATTGCCCATGGAGGTGGTAGCCAGTTGTTATTTCGCCTGCTAGCCTCCTGGAAAAAAAGAAAAAAAAAAAGAATGTCAGTAATTATGTAAATATTTATGAATAAATGTAGATGTGAACAGAAATCTAGTATAACATTAATCTTATAATGCACCAAACACTTCAAAAGCATTAAGCAGAAAGTTACCTGTGCAGCAATTGCTTGGGTAACAGTATATTCCGTCTCGGTTTTAAATTGCCTCCACAAAGATTTACATTGAACTGGGGATAACAATGTTTTGGATGATGGAACCTGGGTATGAGTTTTCAACCACAAGCCAAATATGAGTAAAAAGTACTCACAAAAGATATGCTCATTGAGGTCTCATATAATTGCTTAAAATGTATATATAATTACAAATTTAATCTTCAGATATGCCCAAAGAACACTCAAGAATACACGACCAATGCTGACGCAAACAATAATGTAAAAATTCAAGAATGATTAACAAAAGTAAAGTGGTCAGTCCTCCCACAAAGGGAAGCTCGTTCACGAAATGCATCAAACAGATAAATATCTGGATTACATGGGAAAAGATTTAACAAAAACAAACATCTCTTTGCATGTGCTAGCACATAGATACTTTAGATTTGGAAAGCACAGCTAATGTTATTACAGTTTCAGAGTCGCTATCAACTTCCGGTTTTTAAAGGATATTCTCAAAAGAAAAGATTTAGAGCAATAAAACTACCTCTTCCCAAGTGCTTGAGGCAAGAGGGTCCCCTGAGATGCTCCTATTGACAACAGCTCCATTATTAGAATCAATGAGAGCAAGGGACAAGGTTTTCTCAATAGAATCAGCATCATCATCCAAACGGATAGCAGCCATAACTGAGAGTAGCTTCAAAGACTAAAACAAAAAGTAAATAGGAAAACTTAATATCTGTTATGGTTAAACAAAATATTTATGAATATTAAAAAACTTGTATCATACAGCGGAACGAGCAGTTTTGGTGATTGCTCGAATATCTTCCTTCCCTGTCCAGACACGTGGCATTGAGTCGGAATCATGACTAAATAAGGTCGAAAACCTGTCAACAATGATCTGTTCAGTTCCCACTTCACATTTGAAACTGCAAGATGACTTTCAGGATTATATTATAACTTCAACCACAAATAATTACCTGTCCTTCATACGGATCAAAACCCTTCCTGCTTCTTCTTTCGCCTTTGCTTCAACTATTCCTCTCGCATGATCCTCCAATCTCGAGAGCATTTTCTCCTTTGTTACATCATCAATTTCAAAACCAGAAAGTGCGCTAGAAAATCCTCTAACCGCTTTTTCAGTCTCACGGTGGAGAAGCTTTCTTATGGCCGGCCATGTATCATCACTAGCCCCATCTAACAGAGCCTCCACAGGTCCAGACAACGCATCATTAAGTTTTGTCTGCAAAA